ACTTAATTACCTCGCCGGGCTGTATACCATACCGCCAGCCGCTCGAAGGGTGAAAGGGCCACCGGGAATATCTCCGTTCGGGCTTCGACAAGGCCTAACTAGTGACCCTACGTATAACCTCCGAGCTGCCAATAAGACACACAGCCTGTGGCTGTGCACGATTCTTTTCGCGAGCATAAAACGCACGGAAATTCTGGCACATAGTTCGCCTGTGGCGAACGACAGCGCGCCGTCCATCATCGTCGAGAGTCGTGTGATCCTGTTTCCGAGGATGATGCCCGAAAACATGCTCGCAAATTGCTCGACAATTGCCTCGACGGCGGAGTTGATCTCGACCAATCAGCGTGAAAAGACGACGGCTTCGCCCACATAACAACGACCTGTATTGCCCGCTCGGTGTGTGGCTGATGTGTATATGTACGTATGTGTGTGTGTATGTGTGCATTTGTACGTGCATGCGCGTGTAACGCGGTGGTAGTCGAGCACTCGAAATGGGGTGACGTTGGCGGGCGAGCGCCACACAGTGGTCGAGGGTTGCGCCGTGGGGCAGAGACGCAGAGGGTGGTTGGTCGGGTGGTTGCTGGTAGTGTGTATTGATCGAGTGAGGAGAGGAGAGCAAGCTGGCTCTCTTTCTCTCTTTCTCCTTCTGCCCCTCTATATATCTCTTTCTCGTTCTCTCCGCGCGCAGTGGCCCTCTCAGCGTGTGAGCGTCCATCCACCTACCCTACACGATGTTTCGGCCGTGCACCACTTTTTTCCTGGCTCGGTGATCGCTCTTTTTCTCCCCCCCTCCGAGTCCCTTCGCGAAAACCATTCGCCCTCGCCGATGTCCACGTCACGGTCGATCGGCCGTTGTTTCTGCCGATCGACAAACGCCGACAGCGAATTACAGACGCCCAGGCGAGCCGATACCGACCTTCTCGACACCCCGTAACCCTGCGTCTCCCTTTCTCCCTCTTCAACCCATTCGCTCGCTTCGTGGTTAGGTGTTTGTCGGATTCTAGTAATAGAGGAAAACCGATCGCCGTTACATGGACACACTACCGGCGGGATGCGGGCCGCATTAAGGATTGATGCGGTGCAAATTCAAAGGATTAACCCTGGACTATTTACGGTAACGTCATATCGCGAAGAATACGTGGGCGCCCACGCGCAATCCGTTTTCGGTTTATTCTCCTTCCCCTCTCTGTGCCTGTGTATTATTGAGCCGGTGATTATTACTCTCGCTGCTCGTTACGTTCTTCCGCCTTTATCACTGCAGAAACGATCTCTTCGCCTCGCGCCTCACCTGACGATTTAATTCGCGCTTCCCTGAAAAAGGCCGTGATTTATGACGATAGCAATATAATCAGAGGATAATGATCCGCGTTCTCGTGCAGAAACCATAAAATTGCGGATACTGTAATCATGGCGTCGGCAAGACAGACACATAGAGAGACACAGAGAGAGAGAGAGAGAGAGAGAGAGAGAGAGAGAGAGAGAGAGAGAGAGAGAGAGAGAGAGAGAGATACTTACCGGTGTAATTTACGACCCAGCCAGGTGCGTCAGAAGTTGCTCACCTTACGACCTAATTGGGTTTAATTACATCTGACTGAAAGTTACGGCGATGCGCGCGTGTACACGTCGGCTAGGTTACAATTACCATACTCCGGTAGCCGATTTCAGTTGTCACAATTAGTTTGTGTCTACTCCTTGCCACCTAGCGCGACACGCCACTCACATCGCCAATAATACGTAAATCTAGGCAATTTGTCACATTCTTCTTCAACATTCAACTCTGAAATCCATAAAATACCACTAAGACATGAAAAAGATGTATAAGTGTGCAATTAAATTTCAATTGAGAACGGATATTAATTTCGTACTGGGCATCCGCGAGTGGCTCTAATACGCTTTATCTCTCTCACTTGCATACCAGCCTGTTTATACATCTTAAAAAGAATGCTGTCTGTTTCCCAATTTCTGTTTTTCTATTATCTATTTCCATTCTTATTATTCAAATGTCCCTTAAGTTAAGTGCGTCAGTCAAAATATCCATTGCGTGATCGTGGCATCGTCGAAAATAAATCAAATATAAAAATAACATTGCAGCAGATTTGTTTGAATATTATATAATTTGTTTACAAGACATGTATGTCAATTTTAAATGCTCCATTATAAATATAAAAAATGAAATTATATGTATGCACGTTTTTTAAAAAAAAATTAAATTATACAATGCATCTCTCTCTCTCTCTCTCTCTCTCTCTCTCTCTCTCTCTTTCTTTCTCCTTCCTCTCCACCTTTCTGTTCTCTCTTTCTCGTTCGCTCGCGAGGTGTTACATTCCATCATGGCATTACTATCGAGTCTCGGCTGTCCGAGACAAATCTCGAAGTGAGCTTTCGGCTTTTGAAATTGACCGCATCATCGTCCATCCGTACGATCATTGATCTCGCGACGCTATATGGGGCGATCGATATGCGTCCAGTGTCAATAACCTGCTCCAGATATACCGTCGTCACCGATACCGCGAATCCCGAGATTAACGGTATTAATAACGACCCGTCTATAACGTTATCGCGGTTCGCGAATCGCGAATCAAGTTAACGTTCCTCCGAACGAATTACGTCAATGCGTCAATATTGCGATTTCATTTCCGATAAAACGCTCGCCAATTCGACTCAACGCCCACGCGACCGAACGATATTACAGATTAATTAATAACGCGTTTAATAACCATCCGTGTTACGATGCCCGTAATAATCGCAATTCCATAAATCGCTTTATCTAATCACGACGACGAACGATGGCACCCGGATTCTGGGAGCTGAAGGAAACGTTACCCCATCCAAGACGAAAGGTCGACACGCGATCGACGCGGTCGATCGACGTTAGAATTCCCGCAGACGCGTCCGATCTCATCGACCATTCTGCGTCACCCTCGTTTGCGCCCGTCCCGACGAAAAATAAGCGCCTCCCTCTCGTCAAACCTCTGGCGACTCTCCAAGGCACCCCTCATGACGTTTCTAACCCACATACTTGCGCAGAATTATGTCGTTTAGCTACGCGTGTTGTAGCGCGTACTATCGTTATCCTCTCCCTCTTACTCTTTCCTAAAATTATACATTTTTCTTTTCTCTTTCTTTTTTATCACAGACTATCTCGGAATCATTGCTGCCCGATTTGCTTGGAAATTTCTCTCTCTCTCTCTCTCTCTCTCTCTCTCTCTCTCTCTCTCTCTCTCTCTCTCTCTCTCTGCGGAAAAGTTTTCAAATATTTCTCGAATCGCACAGCGAGCAATTAGAAGTTTTCTCTTGTTGCGAGTGACGACGCGGGTTCACCAATTAGCAGCACGTACAAGAAATTATCGCGATCATTATCATGTAATTAACAAACTCGAGAACACCGAGTGTGTCGATGCACCGTTTGCATCCGCCCGACTCCTAACAAGGATTATGTAACGAGCCGACGCGATAATATAGCAATAATTCAAACTCTTGTTAACAATTGCGCAATCCGCACCGAAGGGAATGCAAACTGATCGTCGATAATGCGACCACCCGTACGAACTTTGCGTTCCTCGAGGAGGCGACGGAAGGATTAGAGGGAAAGGAGGTGGAAGCAGCGAGTATCAGAAGGTTGCAACACCCTCAGCTATGTTACGTTTCAGACCTTTACCAAATAAGGCTGCACTTTAACCATCATTTTATCAATTACAACATTCCCTTAAAGTAATCAGGTAGACTTTTCATTGTCATTTATTTATTAATTATTTATTGTTACTTATGTCATTTATTAAGGATTAAATAGAAGAAGGTGGAAGTGGCGAGTGTTAGGGTGTTAGAATGTTGCAATTACGACTATAATGTAACGTTTCAGACCTCTGCCAGACGAGAGTGCACTTTTAACAATTATAAAATTTTCTTAAAATAATCAAATAGATCTTTCATTATTATTTATTATGAACAATATACGAATTCTTGAGGTACTCTCGTTGAAATTACAATATTTATTAGTTGGCTAAACCGAGAAACAAGAAGAATAAAATTAGGTGATGATGATTATTTAAAGTCCGCCGAGGAGGGGGACAGGAGACAATTCTATGCACCTTATAAAAATAGTTTTATTGTAATTCGCTGAAACTTTTAATACCGGACTTTCGAGCGTCGAGCGAAGTAAACAAAGTCGATCCCGGACGGAAGTTTTCGCTGGGCTCACATAGTTTGTTATAATCCCTGCGATTAAGGCCTCGAAGTCCAAGATCCGTGCTCCTTGAGTGGGTACGTTCGAAGGGAACGCGGTGGCCCTTAGGAGGTACTCCTAATGCCCGAACGATACTCAGGAGAGGCAGCTGGCGTTAGTCAGCAAACCGCTCGGCTAATCCCTTAATTACTTCGACATGGTTAGCGACCCTGTACTAACCACGTCGGTGCCTGGCTCTGTTCCCCGATCGTTAATTAAAATGCCACTTCCTTGCTACCGCGCGCCTCCTACGCGCGAAGAGCGAGAACGCGCGCTCGGAATAAGAGTGCATTCCGCAGTAACTGAATTTGTAATGTACTCACGGCCGGGAAGCTCTGTCTCTCGACGGCATGATAAATCAGCAATTGTTAACGTCGCGTGCACTGGGAAATTAATATATCTATGCGCGACAATAGAGAGGAGGCCATTGAAAATAACAAATGGCCGCTTAAGACTCAATGAACGACCAAGAATCGCAATAGGTATATCGCTGAAGGTTTATTCAAAACTTGATGCTTGAACAATAATCCGGCTTATATTCTTGTGACGAAGATAAAGAATAATACAACGAAACAAGTGGAGGTAATTAAGAGTAATGAAGAAGAAAGAGCTGCGTCGTGGTCTCATTAAATACAACGTACTGCGCGCGCGCGCTTGAGGGTTGAGGGAACAAACGAGCAATACAAACGTCGCATTATCATTATCACCGCCACCACCACTGGTTCGTCGTCGGCGATTCATTCCCTTGTAATGCGTTGCATGAACGATGCTGATTCAGGTACGGCTGCGAGGGTGTGGCGGAGTCCGCTCTCGTCGACGACACCCTCAACGGGAATCCCCGATCGTCGTCCTCGTCGTCGAGCGCGATCCTGCCTCGATCTCAGCCCCTTCAGTCGGAATCCGCGGCATCGATCGACGCTGCGGGCGTCTCCGGGTCTAGAAAGTACGTACGAACGCTCGCTCTCTCTTTCTCTTTGTCTCTCTGTCTCTATCTCTCTTTCTCTCCGTCGTGGTCTCGCCATGCCCTGTCTCTTGCAGATGATCATCCGCTTGTTGCTACTGCTGCTGCTCGTCGCTTCTCTTTTGTGTGTCCAAGTTGTTGCTTCTATTTGTCGCAGTAACGATCGCCGGGGCGAATCTCGCCACACATCGAAACGAACACCAGCGGGGAGTGAGTTCGCTCGTGTGTAAGCGACCCCCGCAGCTCGCAGGTGTAGGCGACTCCGAGCTTTGTTTGTTGAGCTCACCGTTGTACTCGCGTTGTTGTTGCTCGCGATGCGGATACGACGGATATGTACACCTGCAGGAACGAGTCGCGAGTGTCGGATTACAGCCGAAGAACTGGAACACACTCTCCACAAGTAGAGAGGACGTGTCCCTCTCTCGCTTTGACATATCGCGCGCGTTCTCCAGCGTGGAAGCTTCTGCCAATGCTCGTTGAAATGCACTATATTTATCCGCGGAATGCATGACTCGCGCGCGTGACATTTTACTCGCGAGTTAACGACACGCTGCAGCGCGGACAAGGTGGATCTTGAGAGATCTTTTCTTCGCGATTTTCACGTCGATAGACATCGTTTATTTGCGCAAAGTTTCGAGTCTCGAATGCCGACGTAGCCGCTGATTCGACGCGCATCAGAAAGTAAAATAAAATTTCGCGGGCATCCGAGCAGACGCCGAACTTGTCTCGGGTCTTGGCATTACAAAGTAAAATTGACCTTTCCACAAGCAGAGACGCTGCTTCCCCGTCCGCATCGCGCCCTGCCTCGGGGTGGTAGTCTGGTGCGCGATAAAAGCGAATGAATAACCGGATTGAATTCGACGGGCGCAAAGTGGTCGAGTGGGCTCAAAGTGCTGGCTTCTGTGAGGTCGAACGCTTGCTTTATGCACTGCGTTCGTAATGATCGTCTCGCGTTACGATCACAAATTCATAACGATGTTGTAATATATATATGACGATATATGACGCACGATGGCCGCATTTAAATTGTCCTTTCAAAACCGTGAAACTCCGGGAAATTATGGAATAAATCATCAGGTTCCAAGATGTACAATATAAGATAAAAGTACCAATGCCTGGACTCTAATGGCACCTAACTGGACATTCTTGTTTCAGTCTTTAAATATCTTTATATATTTAAATTTTTAACATAAAAAATATATATACACATATTCTATATTGAAAATTTAAATATTTATGTATTTAAAAAGCAAAACAACAAGAATGTCCAGAGTTAGATATCAGTGTTATTAACATCCAGGCGTTGGTACTAATATCTTGTGCTCTTATTGACTTTTTTTATCTACATTTGATCAGTTGCAATTCGTTTCTTCAATCTTATTCGTTTCTGTAGCTTTCCAATTGAATAAAGTTGTGCGTAGTTCTTGCATCTCCTTGGGCGAAGTGCTCGTTAGACAGACATCTGTTATAATCTCTTCTCCGGTGCGTGCACCAGTCACTTCAATTCTCCCCGACTTCCTCAAAGGAGCTTTGTGTCGTTCGTACGATATATAATTTCATATCGCTGCCGAGTACGAAGCGCAATTTCTCCTCACCCGCTCGCAAAAGGACGTTTTATTTTACAGCCGCCGTAAATAATCTCCTTCTGGCCTGCGCTCGTGTCGCGCCCGGCTGGTTCGATTAGCACGCGAGGATTTCTCGTAGCGGCGATAAACGGGGACTCCGTCTCGCGTAGAATCAATAGTGGTTTACGAGCGCGACGAGACGCGGCGACGACCGTACGATCGGCCCGAGAGCGAGCGGAAATCAATTTGTCGTTCCAACGGAGTCAATGACGATCGCCGCGAATGTTCGTCGAAACGGTCGGGCGATTCGCCCGCAAACGCGAGCACAGCCGGACAATGACGCGATAAATCAACCCGCTTATTTCGGCGATCGTGATTCGCCTTGAAACGCGTCCTACTGAAACTCCCTTAAGTCACGCGAACGCGACCACGATCACGCTCTCACGTGGACTTTCGCGATGTAACGCTGAAACAGCAAAGACAGAGAGAGAGAGAGAGAGAGAGAGAGAGAGAGAGAGAGAGAGGGGGGGAGGGAGGGAGGGAGAGAGAAAGGAGAGAGAGAGAGAAAGCAGGAAGAATTTCAACAAATAACCTTGTCGCGTGACCATCCAGCCGACGATGCAAGACGGATTTAAACAAATTAAACGTGGGCCGGAGCCGAGCCAAGAATAGCAGCCGTCGTTAAATAAGATCGGAAGTAGGCCGATAAGTAAAAACGGACATTTCTTCCCTCGGGGCTTTGTATACTGCTTGCGATGGAATTTATAGCTTGTGCTGTGCATTGTATCGCTGATTTTTCACTGTTGAACGAGCGAAAGCTGCGATCACCCCCTATGTGACTCCCTATGTTTCCGCTATAACTCTCTCCACACGACCAATCGTACCGACCTTGACACCCTTTACCTTTTCTACCCACACCGTGGAATGCACGCTGAAAGGCGCGAATGTTTAAAAAATGTGGTAGTAAGAGTACGCTCGAGCTATAAACGTATTCGAGAGAAGGTGGAAAGAGCGAGAGAGACGCATGTGCTAGCATTCCTTGCTGTTTAGGACTATGAGAACTTGTGGCTTCTCCGGAAAGGAATTTCTGGGTGCGCTTTGTAGCTGGAATGAGAATTAACGACATAAGAATCTAAGATCATAGCCATTAACCCTAGAATCTGCTATTTACACACTTACAAGACGTGTATGAAGTTTGAACGATAAAGTTGGGTCAATTTTCCAGTTCCTCCTTCCAGCAAAACTCGAGTCTCCTCTAAGTTTTTATCTAAGAAAGAGAGGAAGATGTCTGTAAATCTCGGGAGTCGCTTCAGATATCTTTTGGTACAACCTTTATCTTATTTGAGCATTCAGTGGACACCTCTCGTCGCGATGCGACGCGATGCATCGTCCTCTTCGAAATGAACTCAGTCGGTGTTTCTTGACGCCACGTTTTCTTGACTCTGCACTTCAGTTATTGCGAGAAACCCGACAACGAGACCGCAGAGATGGGCGGCGTGCCGCACGTAGAGGGTGGCCTGAACAGCGAGCTGTACGCGGTGCCGGTGAAACGACGACAGCCGAAGGACCAGAAGAACAATGCGATTCTGCAGAACAATAGCCAGGAGAAACCATCGGACGTGGACGGCACCGATTCCGAGGACAAAGACGAGAATCTGCCGCCCGGCTGGCAGAAACACGAGGGTAGGTTATCGAGCACGCGCGACGATCGATACTGGCGCTGAAAAGAGCGCATCCGTATTTAGCGCCGAATGCGGTCGCGCGATTATCAAGTTCTGATAAGATCGCGATTTTTTTTAGATTTTAGACCATATCGTATAGAAAATAAATTGCTGATATCTAGGGTAATGTGATAAAGGTGTGCAAAATTCTGCATGAAAACTATTTTCGCGCGATGCGAGAGGAATTACAGATCCAGTCGACAGCTTTTCATATCAAGGATTGATTGAAAGATTAATTGTATTCGTAAATAAAGATCGGATTAGGAGCAATTGGATTGGCCTTTTATAATTCAATTATTTTCTCGTATTTTCTCGATTTACCCGATCGTCCTAATCCCTACTTAGGTCGGCGACCCAAAACTGGTGCGCGGCTATTTTAACGCGACTGTTATAAACTGGAATCGGTTGAATTAACTGTATATTAAGTGTCGCATTTCTGCGACCGTTACTCTGGCTGCGCGGCATAGAAGCCACGGCTTTTATTTGCGATCGATCAAATGATATTTCAGACGAAAACGGACCCTATTATTGGCATGTGAAGAGCGGCAACATACAGAGAGAACCGCCGGAGGCGCCGCTGCACTCGAAAACGGAGGCACGCCGGAGTCTGGTCAAGGATAACGATAGCGTAAGTAGAATATTCGATCGTAAAATTTCGTTCCATTATTACGTATTACTCAATTATTTCGCTTTAATTAATTTCATATTTTAATTGATAAAGTTGATAGAATTATCAACAGTATTAGTACAGGGATTATACGGCAGAATTAATGTCAGAGGAGAGTCGTACCTCATCAATTTCATCATTATCATTGGATATTGTCGATATGTATGATGAAAATGAGAAATAAATGAGTAATAAATGGGCAATGAGAAATGTAACAACAAATTTTCATATTATATCTTATTGTGTGCTACAAACATTTAAAGAAATCAAGTACGATTGATAAGATGATACGATTTCTCCTCTATCATCATACTCGATTTCTACGTTTCATTGCATCGTACAACTTCGTGACGTTACAGATAAACAATTTTCACACGTTGAGTGGTATGGTGAATACGGTGACTCGCAGCAACACGAGCTCGGCGCTAGACCAAGAGTTGGAGAATAAGAGGAAGGTGGAATTGGCGCTGAAGTAAGCGAACGCGTCACCTCGCTTCATTCACTCACTCACACCGTCTGCGGCTGTCGCCGACGATTTGCATTAATTATCCCGCATATTACAGACGAAGGAGCTATCCCGCCAGAGCGGATTCCGAGGGCAGGGACAAACCGATCAGATTCGCCGTGCGATCCCTCGGCTGGACGGAGATCGCGGAGGAAGACCTAACGCCCGAGAGAAGCAGTAAGGCCGTGAACAAGTGTATCGTGGATCTCTCGCTCGGTAGAAACGATCTGCTGGACGTCGTCGGTCGATGGGGCGACGTAAGTACTTTCGGAAATTAAACACGCTAAACCCCAAAAAGCATTGCAACCGTAAAACTACAGAGTAAAACCTATAAAAAGGGAATGTCTGTAAAAAAAAAGAAAAGAGGGAAAGTCAGGTGATAACATTTATTAAATTATAATATGAGCACGTGACCTGTGAGGGCGTATATTTAGGACACTTGGCCCCTCAAATGTATGACCACGGACTAAGTATCGATTTTGCTACGCGATAAACACGCGAGAGATATATTACGAAATATTTCAGGGCAAGGATCTATTTATGGACTTAGACGAGGGCGCGCTTAAGCTAATCGATCCGGAGAATCTCACTGTACTGAATACACAACCTATCCATACGGTCAGGGTATGGGGCGTAGGGAGAGATCACTGTCGGTGAGTGAAGTATTGAGTAACCTCGGACTTTGGAATGTCTGCTAATTATTGTCAGAAATGCAGTATATGGTTACTAATAAATTGCCGTTATTTTCATGAATGTCTGCTTTTCTCTGTTTGGATTCATCAGCGAAAGGTAAGATACCCAAGTGTTTTCAAACGATAAAATAAAAGAGAGAACGCGCACCTTCTCCACTTGATGCAACGTTCAATCGCTAAATGCGTGTTTAATTACTTCTTCCAGGGACTTCGCTTACGTAGCCAGAGACCGATCGACCAGAAAACACATGTGCCACGTGTTCCGTTGCGACATACCGGCGCGCACGATCGCAAATACGCTTCGCGATATTTGTAAGAAGATAATGATCGAGCGGTCCCAGCATCAGAATCTCGCGAAACCGGTGGACATCAACGGACGAACGAGTTTAGCCACGAGACCCACGAATCTGCCGACCGAACATCGACGTTTTCACAGAAACGGTCAAGCACTAGTCAGTAAGTAACCAGTGACACGTTTCCTGACTCATTACCTAATTAAAGAATGATAAAAATCACGTAGATACCTACAAAAAGATTATTTGTAGGATAAACGTTCTAAACTTAAAATTTATTTAGAAATTTATTTAGAAGAGTAAGAGCGAAAAACTCACTTAAGTATTTTTATTTTTGCACAGCTCAATCCTTTCCAACGCCGATGGAGGAGCCAAAGAAAGTACTGCGAGCGCAGTACCTCGGATCCATGCAAGTCAGCCAAGCGACGGGCATGGAGGTCTTGAACGAGGCGATAGAACATATCGTGACAAATACGCCGATCAATCAGTGGCGAAATGTCAATGTTGCCGTCGCTCCTAGCATGATTTCCATTCTTACGCCGAATGTAAGTTATTACTATCGACATTATTTATTTCGTTTGCATTGAAGAAAAATAATTAAAAATTTATTTGTTGGAGGATATAAAATTTATTTTTGTAAAATATAAACTTTATACAGAATAAACTTTATTTCTGTGAAATATACTTCATACCCTATAAATAAATTTTCAAGTATTTTTTCTCAGTATATACTTCTTCTGTAAGAGGCAATCAATATACTTCTCTTATTAAGCATTAGCAAATGTTAGAAGAAATACTTGACATAATATCTTTAAAAAGTGAAAATTTTGTGATAAAATGATTAGAATTAATTATATTTTTCCAGTCACTTAATTATTTTTTTATAATCTCTGACTAAAATTTAATAATATATAAACTTTTTTTCCTGTATAAACATCAAAATCATCAGAATACGATCGGTTATTTCTAACGATCATTTTTAGGACGACAAGCTCATCACCGAATGTCGAGTACGCTACTTGTCATTCCTCGGTATCGGCCACAACGTAAAGCAATGCGCTTTTATCATGCACACCGCGCAGGACTTGTTCATCGCACACGTCTTCAACTGCGAGCCCAGCAGCGGGGCACTCTGCAAGACGATTGAAGCCGCTTGCAAGGTAACGATCTCATATCGATCGTCCATCAAGTCGCAAATCCGCCCAGCTCAATCATGTCTGGATTAAGAAGATGTTTCTTTGTCTGTTTTCAGCTGAGGTATCAAAAATGTTTGGACGCACATCCGCAGGGCTTCAGAAACGCCAGCAGTCTCAACACTCCGAACGGTAGAGGGTTAGGCGCTACCCTGAAGTCCCTGGTTGGATCCTTGACTGGTCGCAGAAACAAGCAGGGCGAATCCTGAGACGAGGCTCTCTCGCTGCAGGTAAACTACTTTCGGATTATCAGAGTATCCATTTCTCGACATAAACGAAATCCCATCATCGTTCATTTATCATACCTCTTCTGTGACCCGGCAATTCCGATTATAATGTCAAATGTAGAATCTAAAAGGAAAAGGATAATAAAAAAGACATCCCTTTAGACGATCGATAAACGGAGAAGCGGAATTTTCGGGACGGAAGGGGTGACCACCGCAGTGGCCGGATATTTTCGATTAATCAGATCAGTCCCCCGACTGTCCGCTAGGAACTCTGGCCACTGCCTGCTGAGCGAGAGGTGATCCGACACAGGCATCTGCAGTCGCCGCTGACCCTCAAGTACTTCGGCGGCTCGCCGCCAAGCGCGTCCCTCAAGTCGCTGCTCTCGCCCTCCCTCGACACCAGGCGTATTCAGCTCGCCCGCTGGGAGAGCAACCCCTAGGAGACACGAACGGGGTGTCGGGATGCCGATGTATGCCGGGAGGCATCGTAGGACGAACGGATACTACTCTTTACGACGTAACGACTGAAAATTTCGCGAAAATTCCGCAGAGTGCTATACTATACCACAGCTATAGTGGACTACGCTTACCTATGTCGATATGATGTTATGTATGTTAAACGCAGTGTCCGATGAGAGGAGAAGTGGCGTCGCGGGTCTGCCGCAGAGGGGGAGATATTAGGGACGATATAACGGTCGAGAGGATCCAAATCCTATCGCATGATCCTTAGGAGGCAGCGTATATCGGGTTTTGGGAGCAGCATTCGCGGGGGAACCGATAGAAAAGTGCAGAAGAAGTTTACTTGGGGTAGGGAGCCGGAAAGAGTGGAAGAGTTAGTTAGGGGAGAGCAAATCGTCTGTATATACGAGGTGGTGATTATTGCGCTAAATTTAATCAACTTGCTCGCTCGGATAGGGAAAGAGGAAGGGGGTATAGGGTGGAGACAGGGGGAGAGGGAGCAAAGCCCGCCGGTGAAACTGCGAGCGAATCTCGTTGTGTGTGCGTGTCGGAGAGTGTGTCTGCAGCTAGCATAGTTAAGCGTATCATCCGCGAAGGCATTCGAGAAGAACGGTGAAGCTATAGAGAAGAGCTTGTGCGTATATATATATATATATAAAAAAATATATATATATAAATATAAATATAATATATATAACTCACGTGTGTGTGTATTCTCGGGTGTACAGATTAAAGGAGCGACACGCGAGGACGACGACCGGATATCGCACGGGACGCGCACGCGTACCCGCGTACGCGTGCGGAACACTTCCGCACACGCCAACACGTGCACCGCGACCACGCGTGCTGGGATGTCCCCGCGTACGTAGCGCGCTTTTCCCCTCGTCTGCGGATTGTCCCGAGCGTCGGGACCGCGATAGGTCCGGGGACACCCTGTACGGACGTGCAGACACGCGCACGTTTACACGACGGCCGATAGGGAGTTTATTTTTTATGGCGAATTAGTAGGAGCTTTAGGGGAGAGCTTGCACCTCGGAGATCACGAAGCCGATACGACAAATACTTATATCGCGACCGTCCTTTAGATCAACCGGGGAGGGGGGGGAGAGGGAGGGCAGCGCTTAGGCGAGAGATCAGTGGTGCGCAAGGATATCGGAACTATGTAAGTCGCGCGATTACGATCACGCCCAGAACGGGAATCACGCGATAATAACTATCGGGCCGAATTGCCGGTTTACTCTAACGATTGTTATCCTCGGTGATAATTATTATCCTCGTAAGTGAGCGCAAACGCTGAATAATAATTGCCGCTAGATGCGCATGTGATAGCACGACGAATTGCAGCTGACACATCGGGCCATCGCAAATCTTTCCGATCGCTGTTGTCGAAGAAGTAGATGCATGCGAGAGGTATGTTCGTACAAAAAAAAATCATTGTTGCAAAACAATCAGACGCGTATGATTTAAGAGTTTCACACGCATCTCCACAAACACACACACATACACCTAGAAACATATACAGCCATGGACTGCACCTCGCATTAGCGACCGTCGCTACCGTAGAACTTAGTGAGCTGCAAACAATCCAGATCGAGGAGGAGGCACGTTCTTGCGATGACACTTAAATTCAATCGTATCGCACTGCGCGAATCACGATAATAATATGTATACCTTACACACACTTACAATTTACACCGCGCGCGCGCACTGATAACGATTATGCGTGAAGGGAAGACTCCGCTGTTGCTGTTGCTGATTCAAAGACGAAACATCGCGATTGGACGAAACACGTGCTCTCTATAGAGAATATCCTCTGTGATAGAAAGAGAAGAAACGTGGCTCTGAAAGTTAATAAAACGTTTGCCGACACTTGCTCATCAAAGAGGAAGTTATCTCTCCGTAATGAAGAGTTTGAATGTCATTCGTTAAAGAACATATCCGGAAAGCGGCGCGAGAGATATGCGGTCGTACCACTGAAAAATTGCATCCTCCTGTTTTCCTCGAGAGAGGGATTCTTTCACATGCTGAGAGCACGATCCTCGTCGTCCGGCGAGGACGGTCACGTCGTACGAGCCATCGTCGTTGCGAGAGATACAAAGTTGTGCGGGACCCAGAACGAAGATATTTCTATGTAGCGTTTTAAGTAAAAGAAAAAAAAAAGAGAGAGAAGCGCGCAGTAAAAGAAGACAGGCGAGATATAGTAAAACGTTGCGGGAGAGTGTGCGTGAAAGGGTGAGTATGCGTGAATAAGCTGGTTGGGGAAGGCAATTATTATCATTATCATTATCGTCATCATCATCATCATTATTATGTTGACAGGTCTGCCCTATGGGTCCATCATGATAATAATAACAATAATATTGATAGTCATGAATATGCATGAGTACGCACTACTGATCGAGAAGGGCGATTATTATGATCATTATTATTATCATTATTATGTTGAGCGCTGGCTGCCAATATTCACTAGGCGAATGTGCCCGGATAAAACTTGCGATATAAACCTGCATCACGATCATCTTCAACATTATCTTCTACACTTAAGTCCATCCTGACTCGTCTGAGCTTTGCTGAGTTTCTAAGTAAATGCAGAAGATACTCTGCAAGCGCTCTTATCTCTACTTAGAGTACTCCACATAATAATAATGCTTATAATTTCTTTTGTAATCATAATATTACAAATTATACATAATATATAATATAATTATATATAATTGTAATATTATAATTTCCATTTCTCTCTTTCTCTCTCTCTCTCTCTCTCCCCCCTCCTCGACCAAGACACTGTACTCGTGCATACTTATATTATCATTATTATTACTATTATCATCATCATTACTAACTATTAATATTATTATTATTAATTTGTGAATTAGTGTTTGGAATTACTTGCACTTTTAAGACAATTTTCGAGGGCTATGTTATTTTCTTCTTCTTCTTTCTCTCCGGTCAAGTTGCGATTGACGGTCGCTGTCGTCTCAAAATCGTTAACTTTGTAAAACTCTTTCCCTTATCTATGAAAAGTTTTTACTATGCGTATTATTTTTATATAATATTATGTTTTTTTACCTGTGCAAACAACAAATCGATATTATTGCAATTACAACGATAGAACATCAATTTCAATGAGAACTCTTCAAAAATTAGACAAAATCCCGAAAGTTTTATAAATTTGACGATCCTGAAGCGAAATGCCGCGACAGCCATTCGCGAAGCTCGACGGATAAGCGGTGAAGATAAGTGGAAGAAAGTAGGCGTAAATTTTGAAAGTGCAAGTAATTTTGAGCACTGATATAAATAGTCACCGCGATATCCTGTCTCACATTTACCATTTCGCAAGATTTCACTCTGTTTCGTTTTATAATCGCGAGATTGACATCCCGATAGCGCGAGAACGAGCGAACTCAACAAATTATACGAGTCACGTAATTACGCTTTTAACTCTAATGTAGTACAATGATTTTGGGAAGAGGGATTCATTAACGATGTCGCGAGTCTGCATAAATGCAGATTCGCGAACATGACAAAGATTTGTTCCATGAAACTTAATTGCTCGTCTTCGAGATCGGAATTAAACTTTATTTCATTGACATATTAGAGACTCTGTTTAAATCGAAATTTCTGTCTCCGTCTTTACTCTCGTCTAGATCTGAAACCTTTTATCAAGATACAAAGTTGGAACAAATCACGATATCACAACATCAAATTGCGATTTCGAAGATTGAGAGTGAAATCTCGCGGAGTGAATTTCTACCCATCCCATTTTAAATTCGCCTATTTTTTCCTCTTTTTTTTTAGAGGTAAGACAATGTCGAGAAGCGGGCGCGAAAAATTAATAAATGGTGTGGATGTAAATATGATATACATGTGTAGAGAGTAAGGCCGAAGCTATGGAGTTCGACGGGCACACTCACGCACATCTAGCAGGCGGAAGTTGCTGAAGTTTTGCAGTGGTCCTTCTTAATCGAATGACTCCAATCACATTTGAAGCACATCGATCAGAGTTATCTCGGCATATCTGTCATCTACTTTACAGGTGTGAAAATAATTACACCAGCGTAGTTCAAGATGTAACCGGACCGCATTGATTTTTTGAGATCATCCGAATCACCGATGAAATTCTTTCGATTCTGTGCGATTCGCGTCACCAAAGTAGAATCCATCTAAAAAAGAAAAATAGAACGAGTAACCCTCGGACCACTCAAGCGAAAAAATTCATCGTGCAACTTCATGAACTTTCGCGCCCCATTTACAACAACACATGTACGAACGTCATTGCACTGCACCGGGTACGTGCTGATGCACAATCACGTACATTTACACGGACAAACACACGCTCCCACGTAGATACAATCTTGTGTGTATCACACACGATAAGCGAATGAACACGCATACATACTCACAAATTGCGCATAGCTTAACTGTCTCTTTATATAGGTGTTGACATGTCGTCACGGGAGGAATAATCTCGGACGAACGGATAGATCGGGGGTGGCGAAGGAGGGGGTATGAAATATTTACGGGTGATAAAACACGACAGGAGCCACTTATAATTGACATAGTATAGCAAACCTTACTATATTTACCGTGACGTGTAATACCTTTAACGGGAAAAAATGAGATCTACTGATAGAAAAGAATTGTTCTGCACAAAAACATGATACTTCATTGATAATTATAATCTCTCTCTCCCCCTTCTCTCTCTCCCTCCCCTCTCTTTCTCTCACCCCCTCTTTCTCTCGCTTTTTTCTCTATCTATCTATCTATCTATCTATCTATCTTTCTCTATCTCTATCTATCTCTTTCTCCCTCTTCCTCCCTCTCTTTCTTTCTCACACACTACCTTGTGAAAAATACGTATCTCTTTATACCTTTATACTAATTGCTATTGATTATAATTTCGACATAAAGAACGCTTTACACTTGAGAAGACTCGCGGCGCGTTTGCCGCGACGGCTTGCGTCATTATTATGATTTAATTACGATTTAATCTATAATTATTCACTATCGCCATGCTGAAAGGGGAGCCTCATTGTTATCACATTGTTGTCATGATCGTCGCGTTACTATAGAAGACAAATTTAATGAACCGCCATCGTCGTAATGTCATACTATATATTACTGTATCGTTACCACCGACTTTGCAGGTGGGGGAGGGCGGGTAAGTTAGGAGATCGGCGATATACACGACGCTTCCGCGAGGACCAATCGTCAAATCGCTCGAAGTGCGGGAAGGATCAATTACCGTCGATCGGTCCTCATTGGGCATCTGTCGTATCGCGTCTCCGACTTCGTGATTATTAATTTAGCGTAATTAACTTACCCGTATACATACGAACGTTCAGACCCACTCCTCCCCCCACCCCCCCCCGAAACGATACTCACCTAATGTGTCGCGTGAGTCGATCCTCGTGGGACGATCCAGGTGAGCAGCGCTTAATTAAGGAAAAGCGAGACGAGAAAATAAAAACCCGAGTACGTCCGCGATCGGGACAAGGCAAATTGTAATAAGCGAGCGCGCGCAATGAGATTCTATCTCGATACATAGAATTTTATAAAGTGGAATCTCGCTGCGCCGTGAAACTAAAATAGAAGAAATGAAAACAGAGAAGGGAGGCGAAGCCACGGATTTCAAACGATGCGTTTCGTGTGCGAGAGGACAAACACTTTGTATGCACCCGCCCCCATTGTTCATGCCCATTTGTATTGCGTAGTTGGACCGATCGGTAATTACGTTTCTCGGTTACGAGATACTATATTATAAATATAAATATAAATATATAT